TAAAATTTTATCTTGATTAATTATTATATTTGATATTGTAAATTAAAATTAAAATATTAATGAATGTAAATTAAAATTTTATCTTGATTAATTATTATATTTGATAAAAAAGTTTAAACTTTTAAAACAAAATATTGTAAAAGATAAAAATATATATACTATATTCAATATTTTTTAAAAGCTTAAGGGGTAACTTGTTGAAAGAATTCTATTAGTTAATGAAATATTATAAAGTAGATCATTTTAAAACAAAATTAATAATTTATAAATTATTTAAAAAATATATATTTATAAATTAAAATAAAATAAATTATATAATTAATATACTATTTATTACATTTAACCCGTGGATTTCTCATATAACATACAATATGTCATGGTGCTAAGCTAACGCTTCACAATTTTCGGAAACGAATCCTAATGCTGTGTTCGAACTCCACCAAGCAATTCAATGGGTTGTGTGCTTTATCGAAGAAGGTGAGATATTCACTAAAACTAAATATTGAATTCTTAATTATTAACCATTAATAAAAATTAATTTACTAACCATTATCTTGTAAAAAAAAAAATAATGCCGTGTTCATTAATTTTCAACCGTCCGTTCTATCTGATTCCTTGAATACGCCGCGTCACATTCTTCCTCAGTTTCAGAGGTAAAAAAAAAAGGCGAAATAAAAAATCAGAAACCCTAATCAAATCTCGGCAAAACAAAGGTGCAGCTTCATTCCTCTGCTTTCTCACATTTTCCTGGAATAATATTTTCTGTAAAGGTTCTCTTTCTTCTTTCTCTCGCCATAATTTCTAGGGGTTTTCTCTCCACTTTTCTTGTAAATCCGTGCACCTTTTACCTGTTTGGCAGCTGAGAAAATGTGAGAAATATATATATTTTTTTAATTTCTTACCTTTCCTCGTGAATAGCCGGACAACGAATTAAGCAAACAAACTCAGTTTTAACTATTATAGTTTTCAATACTCTGTTTGGGTTTTTATTCTCTTTTTTGATTCCTTGTTGTTTGCAGAATCAAAATGGCGGACTCAACAATCATCAACGGCGAAGTGGACGATCAGCCGGCCGTGGGCTTTTATGATTCTGATCAACGAGGAAACGAATCCAGAGTAAGCCAACTGACCAGGAAAATCGAAGCTCTAGAGAGTGAGAAGGGGGAGCTTATCGGTGAGAACAATGAAATCAAGGAGAAGATCAAGAAACTGACTCTGGAGGTTGATCAACTTAAGGGAAACAAAGAACAGATGAAGGAAAGATTAAAAGATATGAAGATGGAAATAGATCAGTCGGATGAGGTCAAGAAGCTTCTGGAATCGATTGCAGCTCGGGCAGTAGAGCTTGAAACGGAGGTCGCAAGGCTGCAGCATGACCTGATTTCTGCAATGAACGAGGTAGAGGAAGCTAACGCTGAGGTGGGGGAATTGAAGAAGGAATTGCGAGAAAAAGGATTGAAAGGTGAGGAATTGGAGAGAGAAATTGAGAACTTAAAGAAGGCTAAGGCAGAAGGTGAAAAGAAAATGAGAGAGTTCGAGAGGAAGATAGGGGTTTTGGAAGTCAAGGAGATGGAGGAGAAGAGCAAGAAACTGAGGGCTGAGGAGGAGATGAGGGAGAAAATTGATGAGAAGGAGAGAGAGATTAGTGGATTGAAGAAGAAGGTGGAGGAGTTGGAATCTACGGTGAACAAAACTGGTGAAGAACTTCTGAAGTGGAAGGCTAAGAAGCAAGCAGTGGATGAAGCATTGAAAGAATCTGAGGACAGGGCCAGGGCCATGGAAGGGAAGATTCTGCGGCTGCAGAAGGAGGGAGAGGAGACTGAAAATGTGATTAGTGAATTGAAGGGGAATAAGGTTCAGTGTGTTAATGGGGACGCTAGGGACATCACTGAGAGCATCAGTGGTGTGGAGAAGGGGTTGAATTTACCCATTGTGGCAGCAGGGACTACTGGAGCAGTTTTAGTTGCAGCTGCTGTGGTTTATCTTTGCTATGGCAAGCGCCAATGATAAGCTGGCAGAAGATAGAGGAAGGGATATCTAGTGGTTATGGTCTTATCAGTTAAAACTTGATGGTTCAACAGTTTGATAGGTTGAATGATTTTGCTTGATTTTGGTTTTTAGCAATATGGTCTTGGTTTTGCTCTAATATTGGTCTTTTTGTAACTCTGCTTGTTGGTTTGACCTGTTCTGATTAGAAATGAAAGACTTCTACTCAGATTTTATAATGATTATGCTAGTTTAGCTTAGATAAAGTTATTAGTGGCAATTTGCGATCTTGTTAGTGTGATTTTATGCTTTGATGTGTTCGTTTGGTTTTAGTTTTCTCAAAGAAGTTGCATCCTAGTCTATTTAATTTGCTTTCATTGTCGGAGGTTGATTTTGCACTTGTGGCAAATGTTAAATTGCGCATGTTGATGGATATTCTAATCCTATCTAGGGTAGAAAGCTAGATTCTTTTCCAAAAGAATGAGTATTTTCTATTGGAGGATTGATCAATTTTGCAAAACTGAAATCATGTGTCATTGGGTAGATTATCCAAGCTCGCCTTCAAGACTAAAACGGAAACAGAATTAGCACTCTCTCGTTGTCCTGTTGATTGACCAAATTGTCCATTTTAGAAGCTAAAGACTCACGTGCGATAATGTGATAGATTAGTTGTTAAAGTTAGTCCAAATAGAAAACCTAGTTGTATTTGGTCTTGTTGTCTGCTCATTTCATTTTCATGGTTGACCGTATTAGTTTGTCACACTGCTTCCTGACTACTGAACGAGTTATATTCTAGCAAGTGTTGTGCTAGTAGGATTCCTAACAGTTGGCAGAAAAAATAACTCAATAAGGTAGCCCAAAATGCTAGTATTGCAGTGCATTGTTTCTTAGGTCTGTAGTATCACACATGGCACCATTAATTGGACAGAGAGCCTTATGTTATTGGAGGTTGCTTACTCAACTAGATGCAAAGAAGATTGAATTCCCATTCCAATTCCCATCCTATTTTTACTGCCATTTGTTCTCTATGTCTAACAAGTTCCTTTGTTTACTGCAATGTTGCCATCGAAATTCCCTGTTTAGGTTAAAGCCTTAAAGGTAGCACAACCTGTTCTGAAATTTTTTTGGGCAGAGTTAAGTCTCTATTTATCCTTTTGTTCAATTACACACCATCCAATGAAGTACAAGAAGTTGCTGTTGTTGAAATATACTGAAATAGAACTAGTTGCCGCATGATGCCCTTAACTATTCTGTGAATTAGAGAGTTGAGAAATTGAGATGCACTACCAAGATTCATTCATCATAAAGTATCATTTTTGCTAGAAGGAGCATTTATCTATGAAATGCATTTATTTTAGAAAGCAGAGAAACCAAAAATCAAAACATATCACGCAGCTAAAGTATGCAGGAGCAAGATTTGTGTACAATGTAAATACAAAAAACAAATCGATTCACACAAACAAACATCATATCGAAGCTGCCTTGAAATATTGATTCATCAAACTTCACTAGTTTAATCTCGTGAATAATTGTTTTTTGAAAATGCTGAGAACGCGACGCAACCTATGCCCCCACAAGTTTGTGATTCTGCACAACTTCCAGGAAGATATATGTTCCTGCAGACAAAAAGGAAGGGGAAAATCCGCATAGAAATGCAGGGAGTAAATAGTCAAAATCAGTGCAGTCATAATGCAGAAAGAATATGTACAATAGTAAAACAGGATACAAATTTCAAAATCAATGGTTCAAGAACTGAGCTAAAAATTCTCCAAGTTCATACTCCATGATGGTTCCCCTCACCTTGATCTATTGTTCAGAGCGCTGCCGCAGGACTTCAAAAAGACCACAGCAACTCCTCCACGAAGTTGGCTGCAGAGGCTGTCGAGCCAGAGATATATCAGGCTGTAAAAGGGAAAGCAAGACTGAGAGTGACTTCAACTTTCTAGACCAATCTGACGCATAAAAAACTAGACAGTAGAATGAACAAATTCCTTTTTCCCTACAAATACAGATAATGAGAAGAGGCACTCACTGGATTTCCTGTGCTTTCAGGGATCTCATTCTTGTTTCCCACTTGAGCTGTGTCTCTGTTCTCAACAACAAAAGCATCGGCAGATGTTGGCAATGAATTATCACCAATTTCCTTGGATTCCAAATCACGAGGAACTGATGACTCTCCAATACTGTCATTCAGAAATGGAATTTCCGTTTCCTCAATTCCCTTGGAAACCACATCTGCTGGAGCAGGAGGTGCTTTATTATTCACTGCAACAGTCTCATCAGAAGTTGTTTCCTCAACCCCCATTGGCACCAAATCCACTGCAACAGTTTCATTTGAAGGTTGCTCTTTTATTTCTTCATCTGCAACAACTGCAGAAACAGCAGCACTGTCAACAGAAGACGACCCTGGTTTTTCCTCAAAACCATTTTCCGCCGCATCTGTTACAACATGAGAAACCCCATCACTCCCATCTAGAGATGGTGAAGTTTTCTTCTCCTCTGTCCAATCCTGGGACAAAGAAACCACATGTTCAGCTACCGCCTGAGGACTGTTATCCTCAGCATCTACATCTGCATCTGCATCGTTCACTGGCTCAGAGTTATCTTCATTAACTGTGATATCTTTCACAGATTCAAGCCCTGGTTTCAGGTCCTCGAGATCTTCCTTCAAAACTACTTCCTTCTCTTCATCATGGCCTTCTACTTCCATAGTCCCCTCTAATTTTCCATCCGAGGTTTCAGCCGTTTTGTATTGATTGATAGAAGCTACTGATTCAGCAGATGTCAGACTTGAACTGTAATCAGTTCGTTAGAGATACCTTAGCAACCCAAGCATAAAATACTGATAGATTGAGAAATTAAGAAGTAATTACAGATGATGATAGTAGAAGGGCTTCAGAGTAAGGAACCTTGAAGTTGAATGGCAGTTGGTGGAGAAGAGAAGAGCAGGTATGTGTCTCTGTAGTATAGTTGTTGATTCTTTTAGGATACTTATCTTCTCCTAGCTATTTGGACTGTTTGTTGTGGGCAAGTTCCTTAAGGAAGAAGAAGAGAATGATAGGTGGAATTAAGATTCTTAAGATGTTTATAAAAGAAAAAAAAAAAAAAAGACTCTTGAGATGTTCACTTTTGGGATCGATTGGTTTCGGAAATTTATGTTTCGAGTTTGAAAACGGTTGAAAAGCAAATTGGGACTAGATTTACGTTACACGTTTGGCGATGTGGGGAGGAAGTTGGAGGGGTTAGTTTTTGCGAACTGCCACATTCGACACTTTTTGCAAGTGCAGTGGTTGGTTGGATATTGTGCTATCTATATCGACCCATGACTCCGGTTGGTGTAGTGGTTTCTAGCTAGGCGTGGGGATTTCGTCGAAACAGCTATACAAAGAAGTGAGTTAAGCATTTGATAAATTGAACTGGTCTTTAGGCCCAATGATTCAATCCCAAACCTTAAGTGCTTTAATGAGATGGTCGAAACTTTGAGCTCTACTACCGTCTTGAACTCCACCAAAAGTGGCTTGATGGCCGTGCGCCTCATTTGAAGAGGTGGAATGTTCACCCGATATAGAGATCGAATCCTCAGTTATTAACAACTAATTCATATTAACTTCTTAACCAATTACCCTTGTCAAAAAAAAAAAAAAAAAGCATTTGATAAATTTGCTAATTTTAAGTGAGTATTTAGTAAAAATTTTTATTTAATAATTTGAGATTAGAAAATCTCAATTAAGGTTCAATTTATTAGTAGATTGAAAAGATAACCTAAAACTACTTTTGTGTCAAACCATAAGAGGATAATTCTTTTATTTTGTTCACAAAAGTAACCATTAAAATTTAATCTTTAGAAAACATGAAACTTCTTGTAAAATAAAAAAGAAACAAGTGCCTTAATATGGAATGATTTAACTAGTTAAGAGTTTAAAATTTTAAAATAGAAATCTCATATTCAAACTTTAAGTTATGTAAGAAAGAATTGGAAAAAAAGGAGAGTTGTTTTTTCTTTTTATATAGTCAATCATTAGATGTATCAAAAAATAAAAAATAAAAAATAAAACCAAGTAGATGAAAAAGCATGAAATAAAGGGACAAAGGAAGAGAGGGACCATAAAGAGTTTTATTCCTCTTCTTTCTTCCATATTTTTTCATACAAGAACAAGCTCTATATAGGGTAGTAGAGTGGTAGGAGTTACAAGAGTTAGAATACAAGAGTTAATCACCACTAAATAGGAATAAATCAACATTAGATGCAAGGCAAAAGGGAAGTTAGTCACCATTATATTGAAAATGTAAATGCGTGAAAAAGTGGACAGGTGAGATGAACTGATTCATAATACTTTTCCATAGAAGTTCACCTTTTATCATACGTTTGTCAAACTACCTTATTAAAAATCTTAGTAGAAAAAACTAGGTAGGAAAAATACCATGATGAAGGAAAAATGATGTGCAATGTCTATAATACTCCCCTTCAACTCAACAAATGTTGTGAAGAGAATTTGTTAAATTCTCACATGAATAGATTTAGTGATTATATCATTCTTCTTTAAGAGTTTGCATGTAACCAAAAAAAAAAAAAAACCTTTAATAAGATATGAATGATTCTATCTCCTTTAATATAACTGTCCATTAATGCAGTACTTGTACCATTATCCTTACACAATGAGGCCACATTTCTATTGCCCATGCTCAATATAAGTATATTCCACAAATATTCTTAAAAAGCACAAATATTTTTAAATTGTTTGTGGATGTGGCCACCATAGTAATATCGATATATGTGCATAAATACTATAGGCACATTTGAGATGTGGTTGGAGTTTTTTCTTATAGTCATATGATACTTTTAGATATATGTATTTGATAAATTTTTTTTTGGGACTATTTTTTTAGAAATTATAGAAAGTTACAGTAAATCCACAATAATTATATATATAAAGTCAAAAACTTTATTTTGGAGTTTTTTAGCCATATTTTTATGAACAATCCCTAATATTTAATATTTAATACAATTAAAAAATTACTCATTAAAATCCAACCTTATTTAATTCAATTACATCACAATTTATAATAGTTTATTTAAACTTAACTTCTTATTTATTTGAAGATTCCATAAAAAAATTAAAAATTCATTCTCTTCTTATGAACTACTCCCCCACAAAACCCGAAAAACACCTATCATATAAAACTTAAAAAACTTAAATTATTACAAAATACTAAATGTTATTTATTTTAGTAATTATACATCATATAATATTTTTAAAAGTTTAATTAATAATTAATAAAATTTATCATATGTTATTCACATTACTTTAAAAAATAAATAACTAAACACCAAAATAATTTTTAATTATGGTTACAATACAACATAGTATAACTCAACTACAACCACAACATTTTACAACAATTTCAAACACACCCTATATTTGTAATCATCTTTTTTATGGATATGACAAATATCTAGACCACATATCCAATTAATTTTGATTTTGAGTGCTTTAAATATAATAATCATGTGACTTTAAGTCAATCTATAACAAAATCTCACCATTGAATATGGCTATATCATAGCATATATATAATCGTGAGAGATACTAATGTATTTATTGCAATAAAATCCCGATTCTAATGTATACTAATAAAATCTGACTATCTCTTTGTCAGTAAATGATTTAGTGATAATTTCTATCTTCAGGATAATCTTTTTCTTTTATGCCAAACTTTTTTTTTTTTTTTCACAGCAAAGGAATATATATATAATATAAAGGGAGTACAAGGGGTACTCTAACCCATTACAATACAAAATATTACAAAGTAGAATATAGAGGAAAAGCGTGAGGCCAATGCCTAATCCATCACCATCAAATAAGGTCAGTAGAGAAGGATCATTTTAAGGCTGTCATGAGTCCAACACGAACCCCCATCGTACAGCAATGTTAGTTTATTCTCCTCTTATCCTTCAAGCATTCCATAGGTTCGAACATCCAATTGCCAAGATTAAAAGAATACCCTAGTGTTCTGTTTTTGATCCATTAGAATGATCGCAGCTACACTAGCTCAAAAATCCTATTGATATCTTGTTCATGGTTTTTGAAAGCCCTTTCATTTCTAACAATCCATAAAGAATGGATTATTGCAAACCAAACTACATCCCATCATGCTCTAATACTTGCATTTTTAAAGGAGGTTGGTTGCTGTTCAAAGGAAATGGAGCAATTCTCAGCTCTAACCGATGAAATCATCCACCATTGAAGACATTTGGACCACACTGAGTATTCAATTTTACAATGGAGAAATAGATGATTTGTATCTTCTATACTCTCATTGCATAAAGTGTAAGTAGCAAGGTTGAGATCTGGAACAATGCCTCTTTTATACCAATTCATCTTTGAGGGGATTTTATCTTGTAGGACTTTCCACACAAAGGCACATATATTTGTGGGGACAAGCCTACACCAAACCCTTTTATGCAAGCTGTTCCTACTCTCTTAATGGTCGCTTGAAAGAGCTTGATATCTCAATTTAGCTGAATAAATACCTTGATCATGCCTCCACTTCCATCGGCCATTTTGTCCCTTCGTTGGTTGGATGGTTTGCAACGGCCTTCACAGCTCCGACATCAAGTTTTCTTCCCAGGAGAAGTTAGGTCTCCTCCATTTTAATGTCTAGTTCTCGCTTCCGTTGCTCCAATATCCCATTTGACAAATGCTCTTTGTTTTGCCTAAAGAATTTAAAAAAAAGTCTAGGAAATTTGTTAGCTAGTGGCCTGTCCCCTATCTAGACATCCTCCCAAAACTTGACAAAATTACCCTCTCCCAATTTTAGTGTAAAGCCATATGAGATCCAGCCAACTCTACTTGTGTGAAAATAATCTAATCTACAAACATCCCTCCATCATAAGGACCCCTTCTGTTTTCCCTCTTCAATCCAATTAAGCCAATTGCCTCATTTACTCCCATTTTTCTCACGAATTACCCTATATAGAAGACCTTCCTCTCCCTCTACCAATCTACTCCACCACTTTCCTAACAACGCTAAATTAAACTTTTTAAGGTCCTTAACACCTAGCCCACCTTCCAATTTACTTCTACATACATTCTTCCAACAAACCCAATTAATCTTTCTATTATTCTCTCCAACCCCCCCCCCCCAAAGAAAGCTTCTACGAATTTTATCAAGTACGAGAATCAAACCTTTAGGCGGCAAATGAATAGACATCGTGAACATGAGTAGGCTAGGCAGCACGAAATTTAGGAGCATGATCCTTCCACCAAGAGAGATGAATCTATTTTTCCAGCTGGCAAGTTTCTTCTTAAAAGAATCAATCATAGGTCTCCACATAGCAATACTTTTGTGTTTTCCCCCAATCGGCATACCCAGGTACTTACACGGAAAGTTCCCCTGTTTACAGTACAAGATACTAGAGATCCTAGTCATCCATTCTTCCGAAACATTGATGCCCATGAGTAAACTTTTTCCAAAGTTAATCTTTAGTCTTGATACCATCTCAAAATCCTCATAATACTTTTTACAGCCCAGATATTTTCTTCTAAAGCTTTCCCAAACACAATTGTGTAATCAGCAAACTGAAGATGGGATACATTCATGCCACGATGACCAATTTCAATCTCATTAAACAATCCCAATGAAACAGTTGATGAAATGATGCCATTAAGACCTTCGGCAACAATCAAAAATAAGAAAGGGGAAAGAGGATCACCTTGTCTAAGTCCTCTCTGCATCTTAAATTGTCTGGTGGTGCTGCCATTGAGTAATACCGAAACTTCTGCTGTCTTCAAACATTTGTTAATCTAGACTCTCCATTTTTGACCAAAACCCATTCTTAGCATTATATAATCCAGGAATTCCAAGCAGACTTTATCATAAGCCTTTTCAAAGTCAGCTTTAAACACGAACCCTTTTTCTTTCTTTTCTAGGCTTCATCAATAGTCTCATTTGCGATGACCCCACTATCAACTAATTGCCTTTCCCCAACAAAAGCCATCTGATTCTCCCCAATGATCCCATTCAAAACAAAAAACCTAGTGCTTTCGTGCTCTCACAATTCCACACAACTTGCCTAACCTCCTCCTCATTAAATGGTGCTTCCAACATTGCCCTCTCCTCATCTGATATCTTCTTGAATTCAATCCCATCTAAGGTAGGGCGGTGCCAAGCATCTTCTTTAAACAATGACTCAAAATAGTTAGCCACGCCTTCTTTCATATTGTTGACTTCTTCTAATCGCTCACTTCCCACCATGATGCTTGCTATATCATTCAATCTTCTTCTCCCTTTCACACATCTATGAAAAAATTTTGTATTGGCATCCCCATCGCTTATCCATGTTTTCCTAGCTTTTTGGCAGCACATGCTTTCCTTGATCCTTTGGTTTTTCCATAGATCCAGGAAATTTTTCTTTCTGAGCTCGATATCTTCTGGAGACAGTGGCGTCACCTCACCTTTTTTTTATCAATGGAAGCAATAGAATCAATGCTCCTTTGTATACCCAAGTCAATCTCTGAGACCATATTCTTGCTCCACACTTTCAACACCTTCTTAGTTTCCTTCAATTTCTCCTTCAGACGACACCCATTCCATCCATTTACAACTGTTGACATCAAGATATCATTAACTATACCTTTAAATTGAGGGAATTCCAGCCATTTATGCCAAACTTTGTGATAGTTCCTTTACCATTTTATGCTTTCTTTAGTTATATGCTGTCATGTAAAGTCTCGGTGCTCTCCGCAAGCCGTGGTCAAGTTAACTAGTAGTTTATAGACTCACTGTGGACTTACATTAATAACTACTGCTTTAACAGTTTCTAATATCATTTTTCTGTTGTGAATTTCAGAAGATTTGTGGTAATCTTGGACTTGATCGTGGTTTTCTTTATGCGCTGGGGTAATGAAGAAGACTCTGAGTGTAGTAAACAAGATTCAATACATAAGAAACTTAAAGTAATTTACATGTATAAAGAAGACACATTTGATTTTACATCTGTATTTGAATAAAGAATTCCATGGAGTAATTATAGCTGTATTTTATGTATGAAAGAACTTTTCGATGCACTTAGAGGAATCTTGATCGCTTGCATTCAGGTGGTAGGCCTTCAGAGAAGCGTTTGAAGTCAGTGCAGTAGTTGTAAATCATGTACTTCTTTTGCACCCAACGGAGTCTGTTGCGACCAGATGCATCCAGTGCTTGGTCTTGCCAGGCACTCTTCTGCAGGGAATTTGTGGATTCCGAGTCACAAGAGGATTGAGATGACCAAACACAGGCATCGGCATTAAAGTTTCTATAAGAGGCAGTGAAAGGACCTTGTGTCCAGTTAGTCTTGATAAGGCCACCTCTTGTTGCCCAGTCATCCGCATTCCAGAGACTTGAGTAAATCCTCATGGGTTGCTTGTTGGGGAATGCAATGCCAGCGGCTTCCAAGTTGTTGAAAACTCTGATAGGAATGTTATCAACTAGAAATCTGAAGAAAAATTGCAGGCATGTCAGAGAAATTGCTGACTATTTTTGATTTGAGAAATAAACCATAAAGGAAATGTATCTTACATGATGTGCTGACGATTCCAGACGATAGAGTAAGTGTGGAAGGCCTTTGTTGGATCAAACCAGAGATAAAACTGTTGCTCTCTATTTCCTTTTCCTTGGGTGAACACGTTGGTGTGGACAACGTAAGGATCTCCAGACAAGTTACCCAAGAACTCGAAGTCAATTTCGTCATGGGTAGGTCCTTGTGAAGATAGCTGCAAGAATTAAGTTCAACAAGTAAATAACTAATTTGCTATGAATTCTTAAGCTTGTAGGGTTATTATTGTGAAGTCGAAGCTTACGTAAAATGTAGTTACGGTGCCAGCGGAGTTGCCAGGTACTAGCTTCATTTGCAAGTCAAATCTCCCAAACAGGAACTCCTGCTTGGACTGGAAACCAGACCCAGAAGCCTTATCAAGAGAAAGGGTGAGGAGTTGGCCTCCGTTGAGTATTTTAGCACGCTCATCGCCCCATGTAATTTCGCAGTTTTCATAGAAATCGGCCTCTGAAGCCGCGATATGCAGAGAAAATACAAACAGAGAAAGCAGGAAGATTGAGAAAGGCATTGAAGAAGATGGCAAGGGCAATTTTGATTATCTATGCAAATTAATGAAGAGAGGATGAAGTTAAGGGACTTGGAGGGAAACGCGTTTTTGTATGCAAGAAGTAGAGCATTGAAACCGTTGTATTTATATTGGTAGTGGTGGGTAGGATAGGCTGTTGGCCTAGTTTGAAAGGAAATTAAGCTGGCAAATTAATTATTTCAAACGGGAAAGAGGGTAGAGAGGAAGGATCATATGAAGCCAGGAAAATGATAATTGGCTTTTGCTGCCATGGGTTTGTGAAAGAATGTCGTACGCGGTGCCAGATCAAACGGGCTGGCAACTACAAGCAGTAGGAAGAAGTAGGCGTTGCGTTTGGCTGAGTCTTTACCTACACTGGCTGAACTTGTTACTACCACACGTGAAGTTATTTAATTCTGTGCATTATGTAGTTCCAAAGATTCCATTGTCGACTTTTATTTTTTTCTTTTGAAGTCAGGGGATTCCAACTAAGCCGAGGTTTTGTTGATGCTGTGGAGTTTCTTTTCTTTTAGGAAATGCTAATGTATATTTTTGGTATAAAATGCTTTTTTTTTTTAATAATAATTAGTATATATTTTGACTTAATATATTTGTAATCCCAGCTAGCAATTTATAAGTTATTATACAGAATAAACAAGAGTAATATAGTGCAGAAAAATAAAAAGAAAGGGAAGAGAATATCAAGCCGTAATTTATAGTGGTTCCTCCAACCCGGAGTACGTCCACTCCCCAAGCCTCCTTGCTCGAGAGTCCAATCCACTAGAAATCTCTTGCTTACGGGTGCA